CCCTCCGCGGACCGCAGGTGGCGCTGCAGGCGCGGCCGCGACGGCCCTCGGAGGCAGCCAGCGGCAGGTGTTCGCGGAGAATGGGTCGCAGAGGCAGGTCCTGGGCCGTCAAGCTGGGGCGGGGGCTTCGGTAGTTCCAGATGGGCCCCAGGAGTTAGAATTCTTGCCAGTCCCTAGAGGTGGACGCGAGTCAGTGGTGTGACCGGGGAAACAGCTCCGGGACCCGGACTTCTTCCTCCGGGCCACTGAGCGGGGCTCCCGCTGGACCCCGCGTTGGAGTGCGGCGCCCCATGGCGAAAGCGCTCAGTCTGGCCGCTGTCAAAACAGCACCGCTCCGGAGGATGCTTCCAGCGCCGCGCTAAGTGCTTTATGTGCATTCTGTCTTCACTTTGATTTAGGTACCATTTGTTACTCTCAGCGTACAAAGCACGAAACTGACCACAGTTCACGTGATTACTGAGATACTGAGTTAAATGTCCCCGAGCTTACACCGTAATACTAAAAGTGAATCAGAGATCTAAACGTGAGAACAAATGCTATAAAATCCTCAGAAGAAAATGTAGGAATATCTTCTTGAACGTGGATTAGGCGGTAGTTTCTAACATATGACACTAAAAGTACAGGTAACAAAAGAATACATTGGATTTAATAAAAATTTTTAAAACTGTGCCTCAGAGGACCCTATCAAGAAAGTGAAGGGCAACCCATTCGGGACCTCTCCTCTCTCAGGAGCTATTCCTATTCCCCATTCCCCCATCCTTTTTCTCCAATATATTTTCCTACTCTCAAAATAAAAAAGTGCCAGGCACGGTGGCACACCCCTATAATCCCGCACTCGGGAGGCTAAGGCAGAAGGATCGTTGTGAGTTCGAGACCAACCTGGGCTAGAAAGTGAGCTGAATTGCATAGCTAGACCTTGTCTCAAAAAGACCAAAAAAAAAAAAAAGTGACAACCATAGAATAGGCAATATTCATAAATCATATGCCTAATAAAGACCTGTTATCCAAAAGATATAAAGAACTCTTTCAACTCAACAAAAAAACAGGCAACCGCTCTGATTAGGTAGTTCTTCAAAGAAGATATGTAAATGGATAGTGAGCAAAAGTTAAGGGGAAAATGCAAATCAAAACCACCATGAAAATCCACGTCCCACCTACTAGGATGATTGTAGTAAAAAAAAAAAAAAAAGAATTGCTGGGCATGGTTGTGCACACCTATAATCCAGCATTCTGCGAGGCTGAGGCAAGAGGATCAGAAGTTCAAACCCAGCCTGAGCAAATCAACAGCTATTTAATGAGACTCTGTCTCACACTAAAACATTTAAAAGGGGGGCAGGTTGGGGTGTAGCTCAGTGCAAAGGCCTTGGGTTTAGTCCCTAGTGGGGGGAGGGAAAAGGAATTGAAAGTATTGGTAAGGATGTAAAGAAATTGGAAACTTCACATACTGCTAATTGGAATGTAAAATGGTACAGCCACTTTGAAAAAGTTTGGTGGGTCCTCAGAAACTTAAACAAAGTTATATTAAGAATCAGCAATTCTAGGCTGGGGGTGGTGGTGCACACCTGTAATCCTAACACTTGGGGAGGCTGAGACAGGAGGATCATTGCCAGTTCGAGGCCAGCCTGGGTTACAAAGTAAGCTCAAGGCCAGCCTAAACTGCATAGCAAGACGCTGGGTCAAAAAGACAAAAAAAAAAAAAAAAAGAATCAGCAGTTCTATTTGATATGCCCAAGCGAAATAACACGTTTGCACAAAAACTTGGACATGAATGTTTGTATCAACAATATTCACAAGAGCTAAAAAGTGGAAACAACCCAAGCTCTTCATCAGTGAATGAGTGGATAAATCAAATGTGGCATATCCATACAATGGAATATTATTCAGCAATAAAAAGGAGTGGATTAATGATACAGGCTTCAACATGGACAAACCTTGAAAACATGCAAGTGAAAGATGTCAGACACAAAAGGCCACATATTATATTTTTCCATTTATATTCAATGTCCAGAAAAAACAAATCTGTAGAGTCAGAAAGTAGATTAGTGGTTGCCAGAGACTGAAGCAGGAAGGAATAGGAAGTGACATTAACGGGTATTACAGGGGAGGATAAAAACGTTGCGGAATTAGAGAATGACAGTTGCATAATTCTGTGAATGTTCTAGATGCCCTTGGATTGTGCATTTTAAGGGTTAATTTTATTATATGTGAGTCATATCTCAATTAAATTTTCTTAGGTACAAAGCACTGTTTTCAGCATTTAAATGGAAAAAAAAAATACTGGTTTCTGCTCCTGGGAATCATCAAAATAATGTGCCTGTAATGATCTAATAAGTGCCTGTGTCTTCCTCATCCTATGTTACTTCCCCAAAAAGTAACCTGCAGAGCTCAGACTCTGCCCAAGCCTATAGGATTCTACGCTCTTACCTCCCCATTGTTGCTAGTTTTCTGTATATAAGTCTGTGTGTGTGTGTGTGTGTGTGTGTG